GTTAAAAGAAAATTAAAATCTTAGAACAAACTTTGACATTATTATTGCATTTGATATGTAGATTCTCTCCTTTATTTCCAAAAGAGCAAAATGAGACTTCTGCAATGTATTTTTCAGAATATAGCAACAAATGAGTTGAACCTCACATACAGATTGCTTAGGCTGCCAGAAAACTAAGCCTGCAAAACGAATGTCTCACAGGCCTTGCTGTAAAACAGAAGACTCTGCTATTAAAATGTAGCAACGTCTTGCATTTTCTTTGAGGTTTTGGTACTGTGATATTGGCTACATGCACTGAAGGATTGTGATGGGTTGCATCAGTGATTAAGGTCCAGGTTGCTCATACTTGACAGATCATTTTTAATGAACCTCCCAAGCCAGCCAATTCAAGATCTTGTGGTAGATTCACATTTTATTGGCAGCAGATTACACTTGGTACACTTTAAAGCACCCTAAAGCAATTCAAGGACGTGGTGGCACTGTGGGTTAAACAGCAGAAGCCTCTGTGCTGCAAGGTCAGAAGACTAGCAGTTGTAAGATTTAATACACGCAACAGAGTGAGCTCCCGTCGCATACATGAGATGGAGTGAGCTCCCATCGCTTGTCCCAGTTCCTGCAAACCTAGCAGTTTGAAAACATGTAAAAATGCAAGTAGATAAATAGATACCATCTTGGTGGAAAGGTAACGGCATTCCGTGTCTAGCTGCGCTGGTCACGTGACCATGGAAACTGTCTTTGGACAAACGCTGGCTCTATGGCTTGGAAACGGGGATGAGCACCGCGCCCTAGAGTCGGACACAACAAGACTAAATGTCAAGGGAAACCTAAAGCAATTCAAAGAGCTTTTGTCTGGACTATAGCTTCTGAGGAAAGAGAAATGGAACAGCAAGAACAAAGTGACCATCTGAGACTGTGATTTTCCTTTTGTTGGTTGCAACTTCTATTTCTTAAATCCTCTATTTTGCAAGAGATACATTATCCACGTGTAACACCACTTGGCCTTGTAGCCGTTCAGCTACTTGTTACTGTAGTGCCATCTTTGACAGCAATTCTCTTGTTAGCTTCATTCTGTAAGACAGTTGGTAATTAACATGCTTTGTCCATCAGATTTAGAAGCTTGATTATTCAAGACAATTTTTTTTTCCTTAAAGAAGACTTTGTTGTGCTGGCAGTAATGAAAAACACTGACCTCTCTGGTGCCAAGGCAGAGATAATTTTATGTACTGTTCTAGCTCATCCTCTTTGCCTCAAATTGTCCCTTCACCTCCAGGATGGCATTTTGAAAGAATGAATGTATCCTTTAAAAGCCAGTTGACATTACAAACTGCACCTGCAAACAGCTGGTAGACATGCAGAAGAGTTGTGGCTATTTCTTGGGCTTGCCCACCATGTATTTATGTGTGTTTGCAAACAAGAGCCTGTGTTTGGAATAAATACATGTGCTAGTTAGTACTTGACACATGGGAACATGAATATTGGCCTGTTGTGAGAATTACAGAGATAATGAACATGAAGTACTTCAAGCATTTAGGAAAAGTGTTATTACTATTATAATTAAAACACTCTCAAAGATGATAATCACACTTCTATTGAGAGGAATATCAGAATAATGAAGTATACTGTTAACCTGTTCAAGATTCACATCCATCATAATTTTATTTTTGCCTCTCTGAGCACTCTAGGAGGACTTTTACTATATTTCCACCCCCCCATTCTATTAGTTTCCCACTGATCATCTGTTCTGCCTCTTCTGTTTATTCCGAAAAAAAGAATTCATGAAACTCTTGCACGGCATAATCATACACATTTTTGCACCTTCTGCTCATTTCTAGCCAATTGTGTTCTAAATGATTAATTGGTCTCATAATTTTTTCTGATGAGGGAACAAAGAGTTTATCTCCATTTTTATAGACAGGAGAAGTAGCTTTGATGTGAGTCAGTGACTCACTGGCTTGATAGTAAGCAGATAATGTAAGTAAGCAGATAATGCATACATACATACATACATACATACATACATACATACATACATACATACATACATACATACATAAAGCGGTATTAATTTCAAAAGGACCTCAGAACACCAAGAATAGTTGTGAACCAAGTAACAAGCACTGCAGGAGTTGTGTTCCCCCTATATCGTTTTGGGAAGAAGTAACAGCTTTATTGGAAATAACAGACCACATCTTTTTTTGTTGTTGCTACAGCGGTTGGCAGTCTTGACCTGTACACAGAGAACAAATCCAAATCATTAACAGACCTGACTGTCATCCAATCCACCTCCCCAGTGTTTGTTGTGGAAAACTTGTGATCACCGGACTGTGGGGAAACATTGCTGCTAGCTATGCCCTCTCCTGTTCCCTGGAAATGAAGTGTATACCTACAGCCCCCAAGCTAGGTGCACACCTGCATCTTTTACTGCCATGATCTCTCAAGGAGACCACCACTAGGAAAGCTACCCAGCTTTGCCAGTCGTCCCTCCAACTTAGTCTCCATGATTATTCACTACTCAAGTTGTGATCCAAAGAAAATGTACTAGCCTTCCAGCCTTAATACAGTAAAATTAGACAGATAATTCCATATTATAAGGCACACACGTTTCACTCTTTGAAGAGGGTGGGAGGGTGGAGACTAACCTGGACTGGCTTCTTCTACACCCCCTAAGCAGTCCAAAGGGATAACTGGAATGTTCATTTCCACTTGGGTAGAACTGCCCCCTTTGCCCTCTGATTGCACTAAGAGCCATACAATGCAACCAAGATGGCAGCTGCCACTGTTAGCTCCCATTAGGCAAACTGGGTCAGAGGTTACATTTCTGAACCCACACTTTTAAATAAAGGCATTTAATTAATTTATACAGCTTTAATTGCTAAGTGGCTTTAAAAGCCCACCTTTACCTGATACTAGAATCAGCACCTTGACAGCAAGTTAAATATGCACAAATGAATATTTTCCAGAAATGTTATAGTGCATGGGATGCCTTTCTGGAGAGCTTCAGGGACAACAATAACATCAAAAGAACTGCTCCTAGTATCTGTTATTCTGACTTCTTGTTCAGTAGGCACACAAAAATTTACTTCCATCTACTTCCGTTCAGTTTTTTGCTTCCCTTTTATCTTCCTCTTGTTTTTTATTTTCCTAATTCTACAAGAAGAGCTCAAAGCCGTAGCAAGAAAAACATTATATAACAATTGTTTTAAAGACAATTTTCTCTCTGGTAATGTCATATCAGCAGTAGTTCCCAGACGTGGGGCTGCAGATGTTCATGGACTGCAACTCCCAGAAAACCTGACTCTCCGTTCTGTGTAGGGCTTTCAAGGGTTGTAGTCCAAGAACTATTTGGGCACCAAGTTTGAAAAGCACTGAATCAAAGCAATGGTCTGTTTTATTAAAATTTTGAGATCAGGACATATTTGCTCGTCTTTCTTTTCTATCATCTTTCACTACAATAGAAAGTCATCTTAATAAAAAAGTACTGGTAGTAAAAAAATGTGAGGAAAAACCTTGGAAGTTTTGTAAAAGATCATACCCAGTACGGATACATTTTAAAGAAGAACCTTGGTCTTTTTCCAGGGAGACCTTCTGCTCATTTCTCCATTCATTGAAACACAGTTGATATGTTTTATTTGTGTTGCTTGTCTGGAATAAATGGAATGGATTGCCTTACTGTCATAAAATGTTGTTGGCGAGAACAGCTAAAGGTCAGAGGTTGGGCACAGAAATATCAACATCAGTTGGTAACTATGTATTGGCCATAGGCCATTATTATATCCAACGTGCTCACGCAGTTGGTTGTGATTCTCAGAAATATGATGTGATTATACTGTTTTCTTTGAATGGTATATTGAGATCAGATAAACATTAGATAAAAGGGGCACAATAATTAGTACTCTGACAGCTGAAATCTTTCATAAAACTTTCATAAAACTCCATGTTTTGCTTTCTATCGTCATTGAAGAAACTGTAAGAAGAATATAAAAAAAACCTGGTGGTACAGCATATAATTTATTTATTTTATTTATTTATGTGATTTTTTTATACCACCTTAGTGAAACTCTTGCAAGGCAATGATTTACCAGTCCCTTCTTCTGAGAGCGCCCTGAGAGCATGCTGCTTGCCTGAGGCCACACATGCTGGATCTTCTCCCTAGAGGCACAGTGGGGAATTGAACCCCAAACCACCTAAACCACTGTGCTATCCAGCCAGCCTAGGCAAACCGTATGGCACCATGCAATATTGCACACAGATTACAGGTCATGAATTAACCACAGAGGAATATATTGTTAAATGCCTCTCTGTAGAGCTCTGCCTTCACCAGTTTCTTGAAAAATTGGAGAAAGGGGGCCTGGCATACTTCCAATAGAAGTCTATTCCACAAGGATTGGGCCACCACTGAGAAGGCATGCTTCTGAAGAGACATTCTTCTCACCTCTCCTGCTAAGGCCACCCTCAGCAGCAAGTTCTGAGATGACCGAGTGAAACAGGTGGCTTTTCTTTGAGGTAATACTCCAACAGAACAGAACAATAGAATATCTTTGACTTTATTCTAAATGCATCATTTTTATCTCGCTTTATGTTATATAGAGATATAGAGTCAAAGATAGTCTATTGTTCTGTCCTTTATATGCTGTCAATCAATCATGTGCTGTTCAGTCAATTCTGACTTATGGCAACATCTTTCCCAGGGTTTTCCAGAGAGAGAACACTCCGAAGTGATTTCCCAATTCCTACTTCTGGGGAGGGCACACTCTGGGACTGTGCAGCTTAGCTTCACAGGTTGCCTCTTGGGGATGTACATTGGGGACTAAAACTTTATGCTGGGTACATTTAATTGGTGTGTTTGATAATTAACGTTTCTTTTGTTTTAGCCATACTTGCTGTAAGCATAATTTTTAGTAGAAAAGGAAGATAAATACAATAAATAAATAAATAAAATAAAATAAATATGAACTTCATGAATAAAGTACTGTACAATAAAAAAGGCTATTGAGATAGAATCAATAATAGACAATTGGTGTGAAGTGCCATCTTCAAAGACTTGTTATATTGTTACAGGTGTAGTGGTATGTCCCAGTGTTTCCCCTCTACCCAAGCTTGTTTTTACTTACAGGTGTCCACTATTGCTTGGGCCTTTATTGGCTATCTTTAGCCTGAGTCTCTACTAGAAGCTTTCACAGACTTTGGAATCTAGGAGCATTCTCTTTCTTGTTAACCCTAATTATCTGTAGAAAACAGAGGCAGTCCACGATGGTGCAATATGTTAAACCAATATCTATTGGAAATGAATTTTGAGCCAATCAGTAAAATACAGTTCATTTCCAATCTATTTCAAGTAAACGTATCAATCTGGATTAGATATGGAAAAAATGTCTATTTCTGATCCATGTCAATTCTGCATGTGTTATTCATAAATCTAATCTGACCTGCATTCTGTATTAGTGTATCATTTTTTAATCTACATAAAAGTGCACAAATATATACATATGTAAACATGTATTTTTAATATACTGTTCTCACAAAATACATATTTGTAGGTGTATTTCTAGATGTATTTTATTGTAAAACATGGATTTTAAAACATTTGAAAAGATAAACTTTTAAATCTAAGAATTCAAACAAGTGCACATCTTGAAACATAATTAGGTTTTGACCCACATGTTAGTCTGGGATATCAAAATTAACAAAAACTGAATTCATCAAGCATCTTTCAGATAATCTGGGAATTCATTAGTCAAACCACAGAAACTCCTTTCTTCTGGGAAACCCAGTTTAATTGTAAGTATAGAGGACCAACTTGTCAAGGCAAAAATGTAAGATTTTTTTCAAAGTGGATACAAAATACATGCAGTCATTTTAGGTACATGTTCTTTATACTCACGCCCTGCAGTGATTAGCACAGTACACATCCTGAGGACATATGTGTGAACTCAGTTCTGCTATTGCAAAGTGAAACCACTGCCTGCATTTCTAACTGATCCATTTGTTGGGGTATAGATATTTAGGAGACTGATTTATATGCAGGAAGTAGATGGAAAGGCAACTAGAAAAAGAAATGCAGCTGCAATGCTTAAGCAGCAGAACAGATGCAGAATGAAAATAAGATAGAAAACTCCAACGTTTTGTGAAACAATTATCATTGCTTTGATGTTCTTTCTGAGAGTGTGAGAGAATGGGTCATGGCACAAAATATTCTACTGGCGATGAATCTTTTCTCTTGGCAGAAATCCAAAAATTAAAATGTAGGCTTTTGCGACTGTGGAGTGTAATCTGTCAGCAGGGAAACCATGACAGCCTACAAGAGAGAAGAAATAAGTGGAATAATCCATCAAACTTGGAAACGTTACTATGTGCGCATGAGCAACCTGAGTTTTCCTACTGCCAAAGAGGTAAGAGGCACAGAAATGTGCTGCTGCTGCTACCCAGTCCTCACTGTTTTCACCTCCTTCTATTCCCTCATCCTTCATCTCCCCTCCCAAATCCTCTTCAACTCTCTTCCATCTTCTCCAGCAACTCTTTGCTTGCCTGCTCTTTCCCTCCCACCTGCTTTGCTCCTCTGCTCCTTGCTTAGGGAAGCAGCCACTGCCACAGAAAACATCTAACGTCATAGACCATTTCTAACCTGAACATGGTATTTTTGCAATAAAGCACTGCCTGTGCTTGGTCCATAGGCGGCCTTTGGCCAGCAAGAAGACTTTCTAGATCAGTGGTAGCAGGAAGTCTCCAGGTAGGGGACCAATGGAATTTGCCATTCCTGTTGTGCTGCCACCAAAGGTGGATGCTTCAGTCTGTCTAACAGGTGGGTTGGGCCTTTCTGTACATAACTAGCTGAAACCAAACTAAGTGTGCAATTGGATGGCACTTTATCTCATAGTTTGGACCATTTCTGGCATAGTCAGGTTTAATCTCGTTTCTGGTAACTACTCAATGTGATAGCAATCGTGAACCAGCCTTACCCTTTCCTCTGGCTTTTTGGACCACTTGCACCATTTGGGGCTACTGTGGGGGTGGGGGTAGGACCACGTTATTTTAGTCCATACTTATGTGTAATCACTGGTAGTGAATCCAAGTGGCATGGGTAGGTGTTTCCCCCAACAATTCAGTGCTATGCCACTTGGGTAGCAAATAAATGAAGTGATTAGTCACTTATCTATGCATTTTTTTAATCCAGCTTTCCCCTGCACCCAAGAGAGGGTGTGATAGGAAAGGATGGGAGGGGCATTCTCTTTCTTTTTTCCCTTTTTCTTTATATTCTACCACTGTTTAACTACAGTGGCAAGCCAAAGATGTGATATGTCACTTAGCAATTAATGGGGAAAAGGTCCAGCTTTCCCTGCTCCCAATGGAAAGAGGAGACATAAGAGGAGCTGAAGGGGGATCTCTTCCCTTCCCTTCTCTTCTCTCTCTCTCTCTTTCCCTATACATTCCAGCACTGTTCCACTTCAGAGGCAAACCAATTAAGTGATGTGTCACTTAGCAATAATTATTTTAAAAAATCTAGATTTCTTCTGCTCCCCATATAGAGGAGACAGGAGGGGAGGCAGAGGCATGGAAGCTGAGAGGGAGGAACAGGCTAAACAGGGTCACTGTGAGGTGCAATGTAGTTTCTTATCCCAAAACCCTCTGATCCTTGTGTGTGGATGCATGGATCATTCTAAATCTCAAACTGTGTTTAGCCTGATCCAGCCTGAAATAATTTCACTGTCTAGTCATACACTAGCCTTGCACCTTGTCATCTGCCTCTTTAAAATTTCAAAAAGTACAGCTAATTAGCAGCCCAAGTAAGCTTCAGTGACCTATGAATCACTGTATAGGACTACAGATGTTTGAAGGGTTGTGTACCACCAACACCAGGATTGTTGTTATATCACAGCTTTCACTTTCTATACACTATTTTAGCACAATGACATGAGTGGATGATATTACAGCAGCAACATCCACAGTTGCCTGAAGACTACCAAGCTGTGTGTGGCACAAACAGCAGTGAATTAGTTGGCATGGAGGCAGAATAAGAGGTAACCCCAAAGGCCTTTTGGGTCATTTCTGAGCCGGCTAGATCAGTGTTGGTCTAGAATTGATCCATTTTAGTTAGCAAAGTTGCAATTGCCCAGGTAGGATAGAAAACGAGTCCTTTGGCAGAGCAGCAACATAATGCCTCTCCTGTGTTGTTCAGATCTATAGGATTAGAGCACTCCTACCATAATTGTCCATTTCCTGTTTTCAGCCTCCTGAAAAACAAGTGATTGTGGGGAGTAAAACACTTCATCATCAACTTCTTCAGGCTTTCTGGGCAAGCAGTGTAAAAATGTCCAGTCAGGAGCAGCCAGTTCTCCAGTCTAAGGACAGAAAATAAATATAGAAATCTAAGATAAGCTACATGAGTAACAGAAGACCACACACTTGAGTTGAAAGCTGAAATGCTGTGCACCCTAGTCTATTTGTTAAGACTGGATTCCAATTTCAGCAGCTCTGCTTGGGTCACGGCAAAGGTCTAATAAGCTGAAAGAACTGTGTAACTATTCTTCTGCTGGTTGTTTTTCCCCTCCATGGTTGTTACGGTAATTGCTCTCATACTCACTGCTGTGTGACCCATGAACAGCCTGTTTTAAGCTCTGTACTCTGTGGACTAATTCAGTGCTAGGCAGTATATTTATCCCCTCTGTGTACATTCAGTGTTCACGCTGTTTCTTTCAGTGCCAATACAATTTAAAAAAAGCATTTAAGAAAAAACACAAATATTTATTTTATCAAATTCCTACACAACAGAATATATATGTTCCATGAATATCCCTACCTTGCACACAACCATCTATCATTGATGGATGGTGGGAGAACCACACTCTTGAACCATTCATGTATTACTTAGCTGATTTGAGAACCACAGAGTAAAGCAGGTTTTATGTCTTGTGTTATGCCTCTGTATGTAACGCAATGGTGAGCTTTGACAGTTTTATACAGTATTCTTAAGAAGTAGAGACAATCAGAATATCATGTGAGGGGGCAATTTAATTGCATAGAGCCTGCAAATGGGAGTTGCAGTACTACTGAGAAAATCTCATACTGTTGTATCATTCTTAGGAGATACATATGCATATATGAGTGTGTGTATGCGCGCGCACACACACACATGCACACACACACCAGGTGCACATTCCAACTGGAAGTACTGGATGATTATTTTTAAAGACTTTATCTAAAGCACATCAAGTACACTAATATATACTATTTGCTACTCTAAAATAATGTATTGATTAAGTTCTATACAGAATATGGCATATACACAAACACCCCACACCAGTGCACAGGCAAAGCACTTGGAGAAATACATCAGGGAAAGAGTGAAGTGACCCGAGGAATACTGTATATCAGGAGAATATTCCATTTATTACAGTCATATGAAACTCACTTCATTTATACACTGAAACATTTCTACATTTTCTTTCCTTTAATCCAGTGGTTCCCAACCTTGGTCCCCATGTATTCTTGGACAAGATCCCCCAGAAGCCTTCACCACTAGCTATACTGGCCAGAATTTCTGGAAGTTGCAATCCAAAGAAATTCTGGGGACCTAAGGTTGGGAACCACTGCTTTAATCTATGTAGTTACCAAGGCTATGTATATATAAAAAAAACTTGATGACCTCTGATGATGAATAGCTTAATTTAAATACCCATCAGTTTACACACTATATTGTAGTTTTTTTTTCCTGCAGAGTTGCTAGTGGTCCTGAGGTTAGAGTCCTGAGTGTGCATTTACCTTTGCACTTCCTTCTTTTACCTTTTCAAAGTCCTTTTCTTTTGCCCCACAACAGTCATATAGGTAGTTAAGACTAACACTCCTATAAGGGCCAGCAAGTGGACCAATCATTCAGTTAACTCCTGGCAGGCTTGTAAGCTCTAAATGCAGGTCAGTGTAATCAAGAAATACTGATACCAGGTCCTGCCTCTACCTGGCCTCACCCCTAATCTCATACTCATAAACTTGCAGAATTATGGAGCTAAAAGGTATACAAAATATCATCAAATTCAGCCCCCTGATTAAGCCGAAAATCCACAATTAAAGCATCCCTAACAGGTAACTATCTAATCTCTTTTTAAAAACTTTCAGTGAGGGGAAATCCACCACCTTTTGAGATAGTCAATTTCACCATCAAACAACTCTTATTGTCAATAAATTATTCCTAATATTTAGATGAAATGTGTTCTTCTAAGTCTCCCAGATCCCTTTCACACATCTTGTATTTATGCATATAATTTTTCCTGCTTAAATGTAGTTTGTTTTTTCTCTGTTGACCACTCATTTTGTTTTGTCTAGTCATGCAGTTTATGAAGATCATCTTGATTCCTCATTCTGTTTTCTTAAGTATTAGCTGCCTCTCCCAGTGTGATCTTCTATGCAGATTTCATGAATATTATATCCACTCCATCATGTGTTACTTATAAAGATGCTGAACAAAACTGAGTCTGTGACAGAATCCTGTAGCACTTAGTTATCACTCCTCTCCAGGTCGACAGGAAACCTTGCTAAATAAGCCATCAACCAGCTACAAATTTATCCAACAATAGCACTGCCTAGCCTACATTCTACCAGTTAGCCACAAGAATATAATGAGGGATCTTGTCAAAAACCTTGTTGATATCAAGCTATGCTACATTCATGTTGTTCCCATCTCCAAGCTTGAATGGAAAAAGAGAGAGCTAGAATTAATCAAGCATGACTTGACTTTGAGAAACCCATACTGAGTCTTAGCAATCACTGTATTCTTTTCTAAGTGCTCACAGGGTGACTGTTCAATGATATGTTCTACAACCTTTTCTATTGCTCCACTTCCCCTTCCTTTTGTTTTGAAGATGGCGATGACATTTGTCTGCCTCTAGTCTTCAGGGACCTAACCTGCACTCCAGAAATTCTCAGAGTTTGTAGATACTGGCTCTGAGGTTACATATCCAAATATCACCCTCAGATACCTGGACGGAATATCGTTTCTCAGCTTTGGCATCAGAATAAAATATAGGTGGATCAATTGAGTACATTCTATACTGCTACTGTGTATACCAATGTAATGTTTTTAATGGTAATAAGTACCTATTAAATCATGTCTTAAAAGGCCACATCTATTTTTCTATATCGATAACTCATTATATATTATATATGAACAAAGGTTCAAGCAGTTTGGAGCACATCTATTACTAGTATGCTGAGAAATGAAATCAAAATATGGTCAGTATATCTACTGATTTTAATACAGAGAAGGTTTTTTCATGTACTTCTTTAAAATATTATTGGCTTGAATTTTCCATTTCAGGAAATCAGTTTCTAAGAGGAACATTTCAGCCAAATGATTGGCATGTACTACATTCTGTATATTTATACAGTCACATGAAAAAGAAAGTGCACCCTCCTTGAATTCTATGGTTTTACATATCAGGACATAATAAAAATCCTCCAGTCCTCAGCAGGTCTGAAAATTAGGTAAACATAACCAGAGATGAACAACAATATATGAGATATTACTCCATGTCATCACCATAATCTTAGAACTGCAGAGCTGGAAGGGACCCTATGGATCATTGAGTCCTGCTCCTGTCAGGGAGGCCCAGTGGGGAATCAAACTCCCAACCTCTGGCTCCACAGCCAAATACTTAAACCACTGAGCTATCCATCATGATTTATGTTACAAAAATAAAGCCGAAATGGAGAAGCCATGTGTGAAAAACTAAGTGCACCCTTACTGCTTCCACAGGAATCAAGAGACTAAGTAGTAGCCAGATGCTGCTAACCAAATTGATCATCAGCAAGTGTGACAATCTCTATAAAAGCCAAAATTTTAGTAATGTGTTGGTCTGGAGCCTCAATTCAAGTCCAGGCCTCAATCCAATTGGAATGCTGCGGTGAGACCTTAAGAGAGCTGTGCATAAAAAATACTCATGAACCTCAATGAACTGAAGCAACATTGTAAAGAAGAGTGGGCCAAAATTCCTCCACAACAATGTAAGAGACTTACAAAGTCATACAGAGAAAAATTACTTCATGTTATTGATGCTAAAGATGGTTCTACAAGCTGCTGAATCCTAAGGTGTACTTAGTTTTTCACATATGGTTTCTCCATTTTGACTTTATTTTTGTCAAATAAATCATGACATGGTATGATATATCTAGTGTTGTTCATTTACAGCGGTTCCCATCTCTGTTCTTTGGGTGGAATTTATCTGCAATGGTTGTTGTGGGTTTTTCGGGCTCTTTGGCCATGTTCTGAAGGTTGTTCCTCCTAACGTTTCACCAGTCTCTGTGGCCGGCATCTTCAGAGGACTGGAGTAGCACTTCTCCTGTCTACTCCTGTCCTCTGAAGATGCCAGCCACAGAGACTAGTGAAACATTAGGAAGAACAACCTTCAGAACACGGCCAGAGCCCCATGACAACCATTAGATCCCTGCCGTGAAAGACTTCGCGAATACATTTATCCACAATGTTCGTTTTATTCCTTTTCCTTGCTCTCTGGATGCATTCCATTGATCCATTGATCCATTTGTTAGTTACTGCTCTCTGCTGAAATGAACTGACCTACCATGCAAGTTCCTTCCGACTTAATGAGAAGGCATAATTGATGAACGGATTGAATCTTCCTTTTTCATCTCCTCTCGCTTGGAAAGTTTACTAAGTTCCTCAAACATGAAGTAAACTTGTGCATGGGCAGAAACAGGACGGATGAGTCAGGCCCATAAGCATCAAGATAAAAAAATTTGGCTACTTTTTCATCACCTATCTTGGGTGGTATGGGAAATATAAGTAACTCAGAGATGTTCTTCAGCCATACTAGGAAAGGAAATAGTCTCCAAATTGTACCTTCTGTTTGAAATAGGAGACACTTTTGTGGCTAATAGCATAAATAGTCCCATCCTTTTATGAAATAATCAGGAGGAGAAAAAGGTAGAGGTACCACGATGGATAGCGTTCCCATTCAGAAATTAATCCGTGCAAATTTCAAGAGATTTAGCATGGAAATCACTGCATGTGCAATAAAAAAATTATTATTTATGAACTGAATGTAAAGTGCCACATGTTCATAGAGTGCACGGGGCACAAACAGATGTGGATAATTACATGTCTTGCAAGAATGCAAAGGTGCTTTAAATTTAGCCAGCCAGCTCCATTGAATTCTCCCAATTTATCTATACTGCTGTATTCCCCTATGTTGCTTCACACTACTCCAGAATATCCTCTGACCTTGGGAGCAGTCTGGGACTTGAGCTGGGAGGCAGTAGGCAGGCAAGTTCTAGAATTCTGCTTGTTTACTTTTAGTTCCAAGCAATAATGAATTGACCAAAAAAGTACAATATCTCTATTCAGTTCATTGGCAGTTGCTCATTCAGGGCAGCTCCAGTAAGCTGTGCATATTTATTCTTTTTAATTTCTATATTTTTCAAGGGCAAATGGTGAATGGTGGAGGACATCCTGGCCTGGAGTTCCTTTTCAAATTTTAGGAGCCTCATGACAAAGTGGTTAAACTGCAGTATTACAGCCAAGACTCCATCTCAGGTAGCCAGTTCGGGGTTGACTCAGCTTTCCATCCTTCCAAGGGTGGTAAACTGAATTTCCAGCATGCTGGGGTGGGGTGGGGGGCAATCTGTAGTTTAATTAATTGTAAACTGGCCAAGAGTGCTTTAAAGAGCTATGGGGCAGTATATACACAGCATGCTTTGCAAATATAATTTTTTTTCTACATTTCCACAGCAGTAGTGCAGGGAGACAGAAAGGCTCCTTCTGCATTCAACAAGGAATCAGTTACTGCTATAATATTCCACTGCTACCAACTGTTGCTTCAGAGTAGCTATAGTCAGTGTTACAGCACGCTATGATAATCGGAGATGTTGATACGAAAAAAAAAGGTTTTTCAAGGTTTTCAAGTTTTTCCACATTACCTGCATTGTGATCTGGTAACCTTGGAAAGCCCTCAGTCTTCTCTGTTTTTCTTCTTCTTGTCCCATGCTTATCCATGTATCTGTGATCAAAACATTGGCTCCTTTGGCAGCTTTGGAAGGATCAGTGGTGATGAACAATTTTGTGTTGTACTAGTAGAAATAAAGACGAAGAAGTGAGCTGAATTCATATGGCACACAGAAGACACCATACTTCAAATCTCATACTCATACCTTTCTGGAATACTCTTCAGCTACTTTGGTTATCATGGGATTTGGTTCAAAACCCTGTAAGAAAAAGAGAAATGAATGCTACAGTGTACTCATTTTTTGCTACAAATATTGATTGGCGTTAAGTACTCTTGCAGAAAGACTGGCCATAAAATGCCTGTTCTTTCTTCACGCAGCAAAATCAAGACAGAAAAATATTTCTCAAAGTGCCAGTGTTGATTGTTCATCAGTGCCTAATGTGTTTCCAGAAATATTGCTTCCTTGTTGTGGGTAAATGATACAGCTTTGGTACACTCTGTTTGTACCAGAAGAAATCCATAGGGCCCAAGAAACATGGGCATTTCTAGAAGAAAATTCTTTCAGTTTTGCTGTCTGTCATCAGTACTTTCCCTCCTTCCTTCTGATTCTTCTGCACATAATAGTTAGAATTATAGAATTTCCTATGAAATACATAATAAGGCTATCATCTTAGATGAAAGGGGTAAGACAATGTTTCCTTTCCTTTTTTCAGACATTATAACTTCGTGTTATTTGGGGCCATATGATATCCTGCATTACATTATTCTACCTTCAACAGAGTATGTAAAAATTACTCTCTTCCCAGCTGCAAATTTTTCTTACCTTTGGAGTAGCTATTTGCAGGTCCATCCCAAATTTAGCCGCGCTCAGCATAATAGAGTTCAGGACATTATTGCCATCACCTATCCAGCTGAGGGTCAGTCCTTTCAGAGACCCATAGTGTTCCTGTTTTTAAAAAAAGGGTAATACAGAATGGGAACTATGATCTTTGCACTTGAGGAGCAAAAGATGAGAAGACAATGATTGATTTGGGCTGCCTCCTCGTCATAAGAGCACAGTTCTCAGAATTTATACATTTTGGAGAGTATCTGTTAGCTTCAAGCATAGTCTAGGACTTTGGCCACAAGAATTATTCTTCATCCACAGGTTGCCAATCCAAATCTCTCTTCATCGCCTTGCAATGTTAGAAACATTTTAGGGTAATAACTTTACTTCGTCAGTATAATTACAAAAGCCACTGTCCTGCTTGAATGACTATGCAAGCAACAACAATCATGGAAGCAGATTTGGCTAAGCGGTGAGGTGTCTGTTACATGTCTTGCAAGCAACAGACATCTTGCCATTATCTGAATCCACTTATATACTGCTATTGCATCTACAGCAATTCGCAACAGAATAACAGCTACAGTTATTATATTTGTACTATATTATCCTTGGTAACAGTGTTATTGTTGCAGCCAAGAGTAGATGTATGCACAAGTGCTTATACGCTGACGGATAATACCCTCTTTTCTCATTTTTAAATGGTAGCCATTCATTGTAATTGTATTGTGCCTGTTCCATATCTCTACAAGCATATGATTCCACTATGTGTGTATGCATGTGAGAGAGAAAGAGAGGATGTGTAAAAGAAAGAGATAAAGAGTTATATGACTGGGGACCTTGGTGGTTTCCACTTGCCTGTGATCAGAAAACATTAGTGTTTTATTTATATCAAATAAAGAATCTGCCACATTCTAATCTGCAACTTGCTTTTCTTTCTGTCTTTATTTTTAAAGCATAGTCCAAGATTTCTTCTTACAGTTTTGGAGGTGAACCTCAAAATTTATGACCAAGGAAACTGCCAATGGTGCCTGAGAAAGGTTTCCAGTGATCAAGACTGGGTTTTCCATGCTTTCAATTGTTCCTTGTAGTAACATCTGTTATTACACATTATGCAAAATAACCCAATAGGTTTGTTTTTAAATAATATATTCAGATACCATTATGACATTATGACATTTCCTGAAGCACAGATTAGAATAGCCCTTAATAAAAGCAGCAACCTGCTACCATATGCTGTACAAACAATGATTTATTTGCTCTCTATTAAATATCTCTAATATGTCTGGAGGAAACGGACATAGTTCATCGTAGTTCACCATTCGTCATGTTTTAAATCCCATCTTTTTGTTCATCCTTCTTTGAACCACAGAAGCTAAGACAGAATGAAATATGGTTGGTAATGTAGCTTTCTATGCTGTTATTCCATGAGGTAACTAGTGAAAGGGTAAATGCCAGCACAGCTAGAAGGAAATGGACTGTTACATGAAAACAGTGACTTATTTGTGATTACTGAAAATCTGTCAGCTCTTGATACTAAAGGTGGGAAGCAAGGTATAAGTAGGGGTAGTAATCAGACCAAAAATAAAAAATTGTGGGAGTAATTCCTTTCACTTTGCATTGTAATTAAATAATTATTTCATTGTATTAAGACATTATGTATTTCTAAGCAGCTCATAAAAGCTGACTGCAAACCAGCTTCTTGGATTTTTTATCAACAAACTTTGCTCCCCCTTTATTGTGTTGGTCTTGAACAATGTTTATGCTAGAAAAAGCAAACAGTTGAAAAGCACACATTTAAGGAAAGCACAATGTATGCACAGTTTAATGCTCCCATTATATGTTACATTTCCTGCATGAATACTTTTGTGCCTCCATGTACATTGGAAAATGGCCATCAGAACTTAAACTGGCTCATTCATTTTGTCAAAGAAGTGACTATATAGTCTGTGCAGCAAATTTATTTTTGCCCTAAGTATATGAATCTTTCCCAAAGCACACGTATAAAGGATGAACAATAGGTGTGTGTTCACAAATACTGGGTTATGTACGTTGAGTCATATCTGAGTAAGGATACTGAAGTATGTGTGCAAGTGTTTGAGAATGTATACTTCTTTACTACACTTTATATGTTTCTGCACCAAGTACCCAAGTAATGCTACCTTCCTTGACAAGATAGAGACATTAGCCATGTAAACTGTGCAGCTGCTCAGAGACAAGGTAAAATAGTGATCGATTTTCAGGTGTGAGGGTCAAATCACCTTTAAACCCACTTATTATTTATGAGAATATCTGCTTGCTAATGTGAAAGAAGCATATGAAATGTTAACAAATATGAGTAGACATTTCAAAGAACAACAGAGTGATTTAGAAACTCAAAAGGTCCCATTGAAACCTTCAGTGCTGACCACATTTACCAATGATTAACTGGCAATCGTTTTTTCAAACATGCTAGTAGTGAAAGAATCATCAACCATTTCTTGCATACTGGGTTAGTCAAATATCCTGAAACAGTGCATGTGCAACTCTATAAAAAGACCAGAATGTTCAGGAGAAGAAGTGAGGCACGGCAGAACACTGTGGTCAGCCAGGCATAGAAAGACTTCGGCACATCTAAGAGGCCCCATTGCCATGGCCCCAGTAGCAGACTCCCCACATTTAGGGCAGGAAGACAGCAATTCAAAGGAAATACCAGCATGGGAGAAGGACTTGTCTACAGAACCAGCCCCAGGCATTCCTGCTGCCCAGGAAGATCCAGCACAAGATCTTGGCAGCTTTCCTTGGAGTCCAATTGAGAAGCCCCAGGAGAAGACTATCATTTCGTCTCCGGGGGGGTATTCATATTTGAATACAAATCTCTCCCCACAGGTGCAGATAATGAGGGTCTGCCCCCCCCCTTAGGCTAGACTGGCCACTCACAATTCCACCACTGCTGCAGGCTCCAGACTCCCTTCCTATCGCTCCAGAGCTTGCAATGGATTAGCCACTCCTGGCAGAAGGCAGGATTATGAGCCTCTCTGCCAGGCCGAAGAGTAGTTAATCCATCATGGGCAATGGAGAGATAGGAAGGGATTCCGGAGTCCATAGCAGTGGCGGAACTGTGAGGGGCTGGTCTGGCCCCAGGGGCCTGGATCCTCATTATCTGCACCTGTGGGGGGATATTTGTATACAAATACCCCCATCTCTAGAGTCAATACATTTTGAGGCAGGCTGGCCACTTTAAATAAAGAGTCTTTGCTTCCTAGTGACAGAGGTAGTCATCCACATTCAGATGCAGCTACTGTATATTTAAAGATCAGTCTGGGTATGATGGACTTGTAAAAATTCTGGTCTGGGGCCCTTGGCAGGCCCAACATTTTGGGTACCTGAGAGGAAGAAAAAAAAATACCACCAATGCACACAAGACTATCTTTTTATAACCTGCAGGCTAAGATATGAAAAGAGTAATAGCCCAAATCATTAGTCACAATAGGGTAAAAGAAAATGCTTACTTTTATAGGGAACCTATCCCATAATAAGCAAAGATCACAAGATCGAGTGTCCAAACTTATTGAACAGTTGTGCACAAATAGTTCTTGTGCAACCTTGTAGTGATGATATGTTTACAGTCTCATGATGAGTTGTGACACATTTATACAAACATCAGACATATACTGGGTATATGGTTTCATGAATATGAAGTAGGATACAATAGATGTTTAGTATTTTGGGAACAAAGAATTAGGTTTTCTGTAAGCACTTCCAGTCTTTATATCTCATGTTAAAATGTCAGTTCATTCGTTCAAACAACCTATGTTTCCTGTCACTGGAAACTCTGTTCTTATCTCTTCCTCCCTGTCTTAGCTCCCAGCTGGGAGACAGGGACTAACATTCTTGTGGTGTTTTCAGCAGGTTGCGGGGTGTTTCTCTTGTGTGAAAGAAATAGGTTTAGGGAGAAATGCTAGTGAATTACCTGCTTTATACTAGCCCATTTGCAGTTAAAGTATCATAGTAATGGATACATATTGAAAGGAAAAAGAATTTTATATCAGATTGAAAATACACCTGACTTTTGGTACTCGTAACTCATCAGCCTGAGCATCAGATGGAGCTTTCAAGGATCCCACCTGCTTTACTTAGATTTTTGAGTAAACCAGATCTTTGTGTTGCTTGACATGATCTTATATGTTTGACTTTGACTTACCAGAACTTGAACCTTGCCAGGCATGCTTCACTTCGCCTTACTTATGGAGAATGGAGACCAGAAACAGCAGTTTGTCTAAGGCAGCGGTCCCCAACCTTTTTGGGACCGCGTGCTGTTTGGGGGTGTGGCCTCCGTGTGCGGACCTCTTGGGGGTGGGGGCACCCCTGTGCTCACGGGTGGGCGTGTAATGCTCATGGAAGGGCGTGTCACGCTCAGGTCTAAGATACAATGGTGCTTCTGAGGAGAGATACCTGTTCAATAAAATGCTATGTGCAACAACTCTGAGTCAAGTTTCTTTATTAGACAAGGTAGCTCAGGGCCATGCTCAGGGAGGGACACAATGATGATAATGATGGGAAGGGTGGGAAGGAATGCATGGTTTGCCAATCATGAGCTGTGTGAATGAGATGACTCATGAGGCTGAGGGGGCTAGGAAAACACTGGCATGGATACAGGCTGGTGCCCTAATCATCAGTCAGGAGGTAGGGGTGGGCAAGATATCATTGGGATGGATACAAGCTGGCCTCATCAATTATGAGCCAAGAGGAGAGGGTGGGAGGGATTTAAATTGCCCCCCCCATCATGAACCAGGAAGTAAGGGACAGGTGGATTGACAGTGGTAGGGATTCAAGCTGGCCCTCCAATCATAAGCCACAAATTTAGTATTGTAGAAGGGACCCAAGCTGCCCAATCATGAGTAAAAACAGAAGGGAGAATCCAAGTGCAAACTCAACATTACCCAACCAGGAAGGAGAGCAGGAAGATGGACAGTGAAAGGGCCAGGCCTTGAACTGTGTAGAGTTGTGTAGAATTGTGTAGAGTTGTGACAGAAAGACAACAGACTATAGGATCCCTGGAAAGCACAGCCTAAGAATTCTTGCCTGAAGTATAACTTTACACAGCTCTAGTCACTAACCTTGCCACTAATCATGAGCTAGGGCAGGGGGAAGAGGGAGTAATGTGAGGCCATCCTATAGATCAATAAACAGAAGTTTTCTTTGGCTGCCTCCTGTGGTTCTCTCAGACAGTGGGGTGGGTGGACGTTTAAATCAGAGAAAGGCAGATGTCATGGGGGCACTCTGATTGTACCAGATGCACTAGGGGGGGCTTAGCCTTCTATGGCGCAAACTGATGTTGCAATGGGTTTCATGGCAGCTGCAGAAAGCATTTGGGGGAAATAGCACACTGTACCTTTAACAGGCATCTCCCTCTTAATTGTGAGAGTATGATTCAGCCAGCCTAAGGCCAGCCTGGCTAGTTAGGTTTGTGCCCTAAGTCAAGACGAGAAAAAGAAAGAAAGATTTATTTTAGTGCTAACATTTTCTGAATTTGGACCAGGGTTCTGTGACATAAATAGTGCTTTGAATGGCAATTAGTTCTCCAACATCTTCTAATATTCCATTCTTGACTCTTGACCTAAAAAGGAGTAGGTAAATAGCTCCACAACGTTAACTAAGATAGTTAATGGATGCTCATTTGGAGATACTACTTATCATTTATGAGTTTATAAGAAAAACAAAAACAAAACAGCCCGACAGCAGCCCATACAGAAGTATTTATGATCCACAAGACAAGACTTTTATTTCACTCTTGCAAGCAGCCTGGTTGGGCTTAAGAGTGTGAGAGACATTTAAATAA